GAGACATTCAAACAGACTGACCTGCCAATAAAACCTGAGCTCTTGGGGATCATCCTGATAATGTTGCAATACGCAAAACCCTGGGGTTGTTCTTGTTCTCCCCACACCTGTAAGTCCCTGAGAGTTTTGTGTTCAAATGTGATCCATTTTCCTAGCTAAAAAATGGTAGCAATGGATTTCAAGGGGCACCCTAAGCCAATCTAACTGGTTGGTGGCTACACACCAGGGCTTCAACCAAGGTTTACTGTAGGGGGGAAATAGTGAGCCCCTTGGGCAACGATTGACATATGGATTACTGATCCCCAGGAAGTTAAAAACATAGATCTCTTGGAAATCAGTCAAGATAGAAATTCTAAAATGGTCTAAAAAGTCCATGTGACCCCAGAAAAAACAGCTTTATCTTTACCTATCCAGTGCCAACAGAAAGTGGAATGAATACCAAAAGGATACTGGCTGTTTGCCTCAAGGGGTCAAGCTACTTTCTCCAGCCCTGTGTTAGCAATGGATTTAAAAAGTGAAACACACATGGCTCAGAGGAATAAATGTCCGATGCTAATGTTTAAGCTGTGCCTCTTTTCCCAAAGCTATCTTTTGGGTGCCAGGTATTTGCATTCACAGGATATTCTGTTTCACAAGCAGTGTTTGTAATTGGTTCCACAGCCCCATTATAAATACCTGTTAACAACCAATATTTCAGGATAGCAACTTCCCACTTCAGAAGAGAGACCTGTGCTTTGTAATTTTACCTTTAGGGTTCCTTCCCCCGTTTTTGAAATGAAAATATATTTCAAAATTTAGTATATGGACTGGGGGGTCCCCATGTTAGTAAGCCAGGACTTCTTGCTGTCTCTGCATTTTCCTGCCTTACCCAAAAGTGAGCACTGAAGTGAAAAGTCTACTGTATATATTACACTGAAATGCAGATGAAATGAAACACACTGAGAAAGCAGCAGGAGCTCCTAAACTCAGAAAGTGTGGCCAAGAATCAGAATGCTCTGGATGGCTAATTAATGGGCTGGTATATTGCAGAGGTTGGTTTTAACACTGCTTTACTAGCCTAGGGTCTAGTGCAAATCCCACAGGGATTGTTGCAACTGACTTCCCTTGCCTTGCCAGATCTAGCTGGCGTAGTGATCTGCTTCCACAGCAGAGGTTTGCCCCTTGAGCTCAATAGCTCTATTCCCTTTGAAGTCTCAACAGTCACAATTAAATGCATCACTTAGAAAACAAACATAAATCCAAATTAAGTGTAAAAGAAGTAAACTTTGGTGGATGAGTGTTTCTTTGGGTTTCTGAATTTCCACTGTGTTGAATTCTCATATACCTGATTGAAACACTTAACACACACAAAAGCCAAATTACAAAAAGAATAGTTTGACCGCATAAAAAATGCTTGCTATCAAAGCAGTCATATTGTAAAGCAAATTAAAAGACACAATTAGGGCTCATTCATGGCTTCAACAGATGGATTTATGGCTGTCACACAGCCAATGCCAGCAATTGTTAATATACAGTTACACTTGGAGAGAGACTTATTTTTTAAAATATTTGTATTTGGAACTTACTGGTAAGATTGCTGCTGTTATCTGTCTCTTAGACTATCTGTGAGACATACTGTATGTTGGATATTTTTCCTCAGTCTTAACAAGGTGTTTGTAATACAATATGTACTCATCATTATTCAGAGGACTGAAATATTTTCCCTCAAGAACAGCAGAATAAAGAAACGTTGTGCAGAATGTCTGAAGCATAACAAGCCTACTGCTGAATGCCCTGCTAAGACTAACTGCACTTCAGTAAAATGTTTACATCAAGCTTTGTATCGCTCAATACCTTTATAATTATTACAACTTTCCTCTATTTCATCCTAATCCCATTAAGCATGTTGTCACAGAGGCTTGGCTGAGGTTCATTGTGCTGCAGTTGCTTATCCATAGCAAAACTTGTGACAGCAACTTGCACCGACTTGAACTCAAGTTTATGAATTTTATAACCAGTGGTTCATTAGACAGGGGTTCCTTGTGTGGGATACAAGAGGTCCATTTCCCATCTCTAGTGAGTCTTCAAGAAGAGTAGGATTTCCCATACCTTTTATTTTCTGCCTTGGCTGAAAGATGGACTCGATGACATAACAGGCCTATTCTGTCATTCTAGCATTACCTCTCCTGGAGGCCATTGTTAGAGGCACAGGTCATCATAATGGAGCATGCTGCAGATCTCACTGCAAGTTTAAATTCTTTTGGTGACACTGGAAGACAGACCGTACAGCAGGGTCTGCCAATTAAAGAATTCATAGGACTTGTCTACACAGCAAGTTACTATGCGGCAAGCCAGAGTGAGAATCTACTGTGCACCAGTTTTCTGTGCAGTAATGTCCCACGTGGGCAGTGATACAGTGCAGTGAAAGACCCAGAGTGTGATTTAGAGTAATACTGCTTCGAAGTGCAGTATGGTAAGCTGCACTCCGGGACTTTCCCTGCCCTGTAGCAGGCTCCACCCGGCGAGTTAGTGCGCAGCAAGCTGGGGCACTGTAGATTACCACATAGAGAAGCCCATACTCTGACCTTTGAACTACTCGTTTGTACCCCTGCACATGCAACAGAATTGCAGAAACTTTATTAGGAGGTTGAACAAACAACAGATTCATTTTTAAAAGATTTCAAAAATTGTCACAATTACAGGATGCATCTACTTCTGACAATCAGGAAATGTGGAAATATATTTTTAACTGAGGTTAATGCACATGCTTGTGTTATTGAAGACTGGGAAAGCCATACCAGTCACACAATAAATATTAGGCTCTGGTGAATTAGTTTATGGTCCATGTCCAGCTCACAGTGGATCACATTACAAAAATCTAGAGCTTAACAAAAATTTTCCAGTGGAAATTTTCCATTGGAAAACGCTGATTCAAATATTAAAATGTTCCATAAGAATGTGTCGATTGCAACAAAACTTTAGGTGGAAACCAGACAGGCAGGTTGGCTGGCCCTCTGGGCTCCAGACTGATGGGCTACACAACAAGCAAGCGGTCTGCTTGGCTCCCCAGCGGGGCAGCCAGCTTGCCAATCCAGAAAATTTTTTAAAAACCTCCATTTTGGTTTTTCAAAACTTTCAAAAATTTCCATCCCACAAAAAAATTGTGTATTTCTGATTTGCAGTGGGGGGAAAAAAATCTGAAACACAAAATTTTCTGTGGGAATGAAATTCTGGTTCTTGCACAGCTCTACAAACCAAACATGTTTACAACGGGTACTCTCGTTGGCAGCTATAGCATAGGCTAAGAACAGAATGGGCCCTGGACAATGAACTCTTCTTTCCTTCTAAGGATAGTTACTTCAAGTCAGGGCTGACACATCAGTGGGACAGCACAGGGAAGGTCGTCCTGCTCTCTGTACCATACCTGTCCTTCAGAGAAAGAGGAGCTCAGTCTGCAGTGCTATCAATTAGTTGCCTTTCAGAAGCATGCCACTAAAAAAAGCCCTGTGCTATTATCAGGTAAATAGTCACCTGTTATACCAAATAATTTAGTTTTTCTTTTAAAAGCTATCCCAGTCATTGCAAAAAATGTAAAATGTTAATTGCACATATAATAAAACATTTTCAGTTACAGAATAATAAATAACTGGAGTCATACTGGGTTGGTTTATATTATATAACCTTACTCTTAGGATAAACATTAAATAGAGGAACAAACAGCTAAGTCTTTTATACTATGATTTAAGAAATGTTATTATTAGACACTTCAATGTAAATTCTAAACATGTATCATATGTAACAATTTAGAACTTTCCAAATTAGCTAGCATGTTCCCTGGAAGCAATTTTAGTATTGCTAGTAATAGGAAGCTCTTGGCACATTATTAGAGTAGTTTCTCAAATGAGATCCAGTTCAGTTTTGCTCCAGATGTTGAACAACAGCTTCTTGATCTCAGTCTGCTAGTCTCAGCTGTGTTTGAGCTTTAGTCTTTAAAAACAACAAATCAGCATTCCAGGAAAATGGTATCAAACAGGACTGCTACCCCTTTCATTTGGAATCAATGGGGACATTGGAACAAAAACCTTTCAATTACTTTCACATCCTCTCTTCAAAACAACATCCCCACAACTATGATCCTTCTTGCATTATCAAGCCATGCATGTTCTTTGTTTTATCAATTAAAGCAAAGCCCCTGAATATAAATGAGCTCCCCATCATCATCCTAAAATACTGGTTTGGTCAGACTCAGAGGGAAGAATGTCATTTTCTGCATCATAACAATACTTCCTGAAGCTCCAGTGTGACCTCAAATCCAAGTACTGACTTAGCCCAAATTAGGTTGTGGAAAGTGACAACACCCCAGCTTTGGTTTGACTGTGGGGGCAATGAAACATCATCGCTGCTATATCAGCTTCTTTATGCTATTTCACCAATGAATCTAATGATAACATAAATTGCAAGTTTCAGACCATTACTTACTTTTAATTAATCCCTGGCAGCCAGGCCCATCACCTAGAGATATATCTTTGTAAGAGCAAAAAGAATAATACCTGATACCCCTATCTTGCCTTATATCTTCAAAGTGCTAACTGTTCATTAGCACGCCAGAGGGATTATTAAGCACCATTATTTCCAGTTTACAGACTCTGCATCTGAGACAAAAAGGTCAAGTGATTTGCCCCACATCACAGAAAAAGTTAGCATCAGAGCTGGGATACCTGGACTCCCACTATTGTGCTTAAACCACTAGGCTACAAACCTTACCCTTATAAAGATAAGCTCATTAGTTTCAACAAAAAAGCATAAACAACAACAACAGCATAATACCACAGGCATTGTTGCATGCTTCAGTGATTCAAATAATGCAAACTGTTTTCTAATCTTGGGAGAGCAATAAGGAAATGCAGTTATGTGTAGACGTTAACCAACAAAACAAAGATCTGTTCGTTCCTGACTAAAACATTTTCATTCAAGAAAACTACATGTAGTTAATAAAGTTTGTGCAGTTATTGGTACTGTACCTTGTAAGTAAGTAAGGTGAGAATGAAGCTGGATTGTCCTGTTCTGAAAACATTGGCATGGAACCTCCCATTATCCAGAAACGGAAATATAAAACAAGAATCACCTTCAGAGAAGAACAACATCTATTGAAATGGTTACCACCATTTGAGCAATATTATACCGTACATGGAAATCCAAATCTTTAACGTGCAGACTCTTAATTTTTTATTTTTTTTAAGATGGCTCTTTAAGATTTAGCAAACACTGCAGGGAAATCAACACAAACTAGGGCTTGATGTCGAATCAATTTCCAGGGCAATTATGGAATCAATTCCTATTAGTATCAGTGGCATAACAGGGTGTTAATCCTTGAACATCCACTAAAAAATAAACCACGTTATGAATATACATAAAAGGAATTTCACAAATATTTATCTGGATAATTTTCTAGCCTTTTCTGTCAGAGTGTCCCGCCAGAGTGTAAGTGTGTACTACTGCCATGGACTGTATGGGATATTAAGCCCTCTCGAAACAGAGACAATGTTTGTGAGTATGAATGTGTTAATACCTTTCCTCATGCTGAGTGATACCTGACACTGAGAGAGTTCCACTGATTTATTTTTGAGCTGGTTTCAAGGGGATTACTGGTGTCATTAACTACTGTTCCAGGTAAGGGAAACAGAATCTGGCCTGTAGGGGGCAACAGGGAAGTTATGCTTTAAAATGAGCAACCTTTTGATTTCTTCTTACTACCTGTCCCGCTGGCTGGAGCAGCATGGTCAACTGCTTTCTGGAGATGGGGTTCATTCTTTACACTTGCAGTGATTGCCATTGAAAAGTCAGTATTTTCCAGTTAACCCACAGTGGTATATTTTACTCTGGAGATTTCCCCACTATTTAGAAAAGGTGGGATATATGCAAATGTTTATTTTTAAATGACGACATATGTAAACTAAAAGAGAATTTGAGGTGGAAAAGAGCAGCATTTTCATCTAACTGTCCAGCTGAAATTTTATTGGACTATCTTTCAAGATTAACTGTGAGTTAATACCATCTAATCAAACCACTTAAAATAGAATTTCAGCTGCAATTTCAGCTTTCTAGTTCTGTTGGTGATACTATTCAGCAACATTTATGTTAATATTATTTAGATGTACACCACCACATTTTTAAAATCACTCATACTTACATAACTTATTACTAAAGCAGCCCTCTTCAAAAATGGCCTTGCAGTATACAAGAAATTCTGGTTGTTACTTGCAGTCAGGTAGCTGAAATGCAAATGAACAAACACTTGCTTAAATACTTAGTGGAAAGTAGCTTGTTTTTCACACTGAAAAATCACTGGCACAATGCTCTAACCATCCTATGTCTATTAATGTGTTAACATTAAAGCTATAATGATAAGCATTTGTATCATTTTCCATTTTCAAAGCATTTTCTAATTAGAATTAGTCAACATTTTATTTCTAAAATTTAACAAAATTTCAAATGAAAAAAATTGCAGAAATTATCACAATTGTTTCCCCAACCAGCTCTATTTACAACCACCAACTACTTAATGCTCACAAATCTCCATGTATGACTTTCCCAGCACAGAAGAAGTCAGTATCAGGCCATGATTAAAACTCAGAAGCTCCTTAATCCAATTCTGTGCTCAAAAACTAGAGAGGGAGGCATAATCAGGAAGAACTGAGTTTCTTTAAAGCATCTCTCTTTTTAAGTAGAGTTCACAACAAGTCACTTGACTAGTTAGTTATGATTATTAATTGAAGTGCGTCAAATGTACAGGATACCCTTTGTCTGTGCAAACCCTCCCTGCTCCACAGGCAGGTAAAATTAAAGGCTTGAGGTCAAGCATTATAAAGCTCAAAAACTGGGATCTCTCTAAATTATTTTTAGAGAAATCCAGTAAAGAGAACAGTGAAGTGTTCTCTAAATTCTAATACCCATTTTAAAATAATTAATGACCGTCACTATGGCACTAAAGTAACTAAATACTAAATATGCTTATATAGGGCCCTACAAACTTTTCGTTTTTCTGAGGAAGAAAAACAAGTAAAACATAGGAGAAGATAGTTGAGGGGGATAAGTATGTAGGAAGTGAAGAATGTTTTTAACTTGGAGAAAATAGAAGAAACATTATCGTTGAGCTTTTGAGAACGTGTTAAAAATAAGGAATAAAAAAATATTCAGTTTATAAAGTCTCCGAAGATTATGAAACAGGTTACAATGCTTGTATTCAAGTCAGCACTCCATGCAAGGAAAGAGTCACACTTTTTCCTGTGAACATCTAGTATAGAAATTTAATTTTGATTTCCTCCAAATCTCTTAATACACAAGATCCTCTAACTACCTTTAGCCCTTCAAGTCACTGTAGAAATGAGGTCACAACACTTCCGCAAGAAAGAGAGATTCTTAATTTGTGGCTTTTTGTTCAACTTTTCCATAGCAGGAAGTTAGTGATGCTAGGCACCTTTGAAATATGAAGAAAAGCTTTCACTGCTGACAAAAGCAACAGAACCAAAACCTGTATGAGAAGGAATTAGAGTTTAACAACAACAAAGAAAAGTGAGTGCAGCTGGATGCACTCTAGAAAATGCAATCTCTTTAAAAAAACCTTCTGTAAGCATCGTGCCTAAAACATAGTAACCCAAACTATGTACGGTAGAGAAAGCTGGATAACCTCAGGCCCTTGTCATCTACTTATTTATAAATGTTGACATTTAAGAGTAGAAGGTGACTTAAATGTCAGACTGGTCTTCAAGACCCCAATCCCGCAAGGTGAAAAGTTTTCTGAACTCCCACTGATTTTAATCAGGCCCCAACTTCCCAGAACAAGGAAGCTCAGACTAGTCTTCAGGTTTTATACTTCATGAAAGGTCAGACTGGCCTTCAAGTTTTCACTATGGCCCTGATTCAAGGCCCACTGAAGCCAAGGGAAAGACTCCCAGTGACTTCAACAGGGTTTGGATCAGGCCCTGGACTTTTGTGCCAGTTGGAATGTCTCATGAAATTCAAACCTCTTATGCTTTTTAGTAAGCAACAGAAGTGGTTGGTTGTATTTTGTTCACATTATTATAGACAGGGCCGGTAACGCAGCCTACTATTAAGGTCGCCTAATACTTCCCATTATAAGAGCCTGTTTACGTAGGGTTACCATACGTCCGGATTTCCCCGGACATGTCCAGCTTTTTGGTACTCAAATCCCCATCCGGGGGGAACTGCCAAAAAGCCGGACATGTCCGGGGAAATAGGGAGGCAGCATAAGCCAGGGTCCGCCTGGCCCCAGCACGACCCGCCGGGTCCGCAGTGCAGCCCAGCCGCCCGGCTACATTGTAGCGAGCTCGGGCGGGGGAAGGGGGAGCGCAGCCGCAGAAGGCGGCAAAGGGGCCGCTGCTGCCCCCGCAGGCCGGGCGGACCGCGCGCCCCAGCCAAGCCCGCAGGACCACGGGGAGGCCGGGCCCAGCCAACGGCTCGGGCTTCCCTCACGGGCGGGGACTCCCCGGCCACTGGGAGACCCTTCCTGCGGCCCCATCACCCCACGTGGCAGGAAGGAGGCTGCAGCGCGGGGCAGGGAGTGCGGCGTGTGCCGGGGCTGCAGGGACCCGCGCTGCCCCGGTCGCCGCTGAGCATCCGAAGCCCCCGCCAGGCAGAGGCTGCCGGGGGAGCGGGGCAGCAGGGCAGGCAGGGGGGAGGGGGGTGCAGAGGCTGCAGGGCGAGGAGGAGCAGGGCAGGCAGGGACATAGAGGCTGCAGGGGCGGGGTGGGTGCAGGGGCTGCAGGGTGAGTGGGGAGCAGGGGGCACAGAGGCTGCAGGGGCGGGGGGGTGCAGGGGCTGCAGGGCAAGGAGGAGCAGGGCAGGCAGGGGCAGGGCAGGCGGTGGGGTGCAGAGGCTGCAGGGCGAGGAGGAACAGGGCAGGCAGGGGCATAGAGGCTGCAGGGGCAGGGAGGCACAGGGGCAGGGCAGGTGGAGGGCGCAGAGGCTGCAGGGGCGGGGGGGTGCAGGGGATGCAGGGCCAGTGGGGAGCAGGGGGCACAGAGGCTGCAGGAGCGGGGTGGGGGAGGTGCAGGGGCTGCAGGGCGAGTGGGGAGCAGGGAAGCACTTAGCAACCCCCAACCAAGATCAGAGCGGGAGGGAGGAGGGGGAATGTGGGGTGCTCAGAGGAGGGGGCAGAGTTGGGGCAGGGACTTTGGGGAAAGGGTTGGAATGGGGGTGGGGAAGGGGCGGAGTTGGGCGGGGCCGGGGGTGGGGAAGGGGCGGAGTTGGGGCGGGGCTGGGGGCAGGACCGGGGCCCTGTGGAGTGTCCTCTTTTTTAAATGTTTGAATATGGTAACCCTAGTTTACGCTTGCTTATAATTTTGACAAACTTTAACCATTTAGGTTGAAGTTTTCCATGCCCAGTGTCTGCTTTAGACTGATATTTTTCTGGGAAATTTCAGCCAAAATGGTTCAGCTGTTTCTGAGAACGAAACTAGAGAAAAAAAATATGTTGTTTTATCCATTTAAAAAATTCTGGTGACCTTTTCTCTCAAAAGCTCAAGCACCACCAGCTTCTGAAGCAGGAAATTGAAATATGGCAAAAAGGGGGTCTTTGTGTTAGGGACGTACCTTTTGTTGTCCCCATGAAAATCCAACCAAATTTGACCAAGTTATAAAACTATGGGGGGAGGGGGGAAATCACAGTTGGCACATGCTCAGTAGAGACTATTTAGAGTCTACCTGATAAAATCTCCTGCTCTCCAAAGATTCCATCTACACTATGCATGCTTCAGTCTGGAATAACTATTAGGCGTGATCTGCACTTAAAAGTTAATTTGCCATAGGTACGGGATTCAGAGGTGTGAAAAATTCATGCCCCCGAGCACAGTAGCTAAGCGGATGGAAGAATTCTTCTATTGACCTAGCTACCGCGGCTTGGAGAGTGGATGACCTGCGCTGACAGAAAGGTCCCTTCTGTTGCTGCGGAAAGCGTCTATCCATTGGCTCTACAGCAGCATAGCTGCAAAGCTGCAGCTGTGCCACTGTAGCATCCATACTGTAGACATGGCCTTAGAAACAATATACTAATTAAAAATAAGGAAAAGCATAACCTAATCTTGGACTGTGAATTGTCTGGAGCAAGAGCTGTTTTTGTGTTTTTTCTTCAGTGCCTAGTACAATATGGTCCTGATCAAGGTCTTTAGCTGCAACCAACCAACCACCACCTACCATCCACTTGTTCCGTCTCAGTTACAGTCTAAGGATAAATATTTTTAAAAAAGGAACTAGATCCTGAAATTTCAAAAAAGGTGACAGTTGTCTTTGATTATTGGTCCCTTCTGGTGGTGGATGTTCCAAAGTACACAGTATGGGAGTCTGCTGAGTATAACAATGATTCAACTTTTTTGAAAGGAGTACGTTAGTCTGTCCACTTCTATAATATTCTGGATGTGTTTTAAGATGATCATAGTAAGATGGAAGAAAATGAAAAGTGCTTGATCTGTCCCATGCTGGAGGGCCCAAATCCTACTTCTATCTAGTATTAATGGTTTAAAGCTCCTTTCTTCTCCTTTCAAGATATCCCACATACTTTTTAAGCTTATTGATTTTGACATTTTGGCCTGTAACATGTATAATTAAAATGCACTTTACAACCCACACTCTCATTCCCATCTTCATCATGCCAAGCATAATCAAACATTTTATCCAGTGTTGTGTCAATGCATCACTGTTTAAAAGCAGGAATTAATTACAAGTGCCCCACAACGCTATGAGAGGCCCAGCCCACCACAGAGCAAGCCTTATCATGGCATTTTACCAAACCCCATCTTCCTGATGTGCCTTCATGCAGCATTTAAGTCATTCAGCACTAACACACCCAAAGAAAAGTAACCTATGTATTGAGCCTGGTTGTGGTCAGCACTGTAACCTGCAGAACAGATTTAGCATCAAGCCAGGATGCACTAGAAGGGATGAGAGGGACAACTGGGGATGGGCAAATCCAGAGGAGTTCAAGGGTTTCTGAACTTCATAATCTCTTTTCCAAATGTTTTTGGCATTTTACAACTGAGGCAGAGAAATTTTCTTTTCATGCAGATTCCATTTGGAAATATGTTTTTCTGACTTAAAAAGAGCTTGTGCTATGAAATCTACAAGGAAAACCATGAAAGATAACATCATACTCTGCTTGTTGATCCAGCTGTCCTGGCCATCCAATCCATCCAAGCTAGAGAGGTGGCATATATGAAATACAAACCCATGGGTAAGCATATGGGTAACTCAGCTCATC